GTACTGTTTATGAATTTGTACAACGATTTTGGGTTGCTGTGCCCAAACGCGTGAATCGAATCAAAAAACTTTTACACACACTTGTAGACAACAGTTCACGCTTTATTACAAAAATTTAATTTATTAAATCTGTGCACAAATTTAACAATAATGTCGGTTGGAAATATGGTATTTGTTGCAAATTTTTGTTATAAATTTGTATATACATTTTTATATACAAGATAATTTTATAAAACACCCAGTAACCGAAATAGACAACACTGGGCGGCAGCCCCAGGTTTACCACACAGAAAGGGAATTCTAGTTACCTCCTCCTTACCCAAGGTTACATCACTGGGCGCCTTTTTCGGGTCTACGTTCAATCATTGTCGTCAAGCTCAACTAACGGGAGGCCCAGGAAACGAGCTGTTTCGATGGGTTCGGACCAGAGGGAGAGGGGTGTTAGTTGAGTCGGATTGAGTTGGCATGTAAAGAGGTGGTTGGTGTCGTGGGGGGACTCTCCACATGCCGGGCACTCATTGGGGATATTGGGGTCGGGTCTGGACAGGTAGCTGTTAAGGCGGCTACAGTATCCAGACCGTAATTGAGCCAGGGTAACGCGGGTTGTTGTTGTTGTTGTTGTTGTAGCGGCACTACTAAGCCCCGCCTGTTTCGGGTCAACTTTTTAATTATTATCGTCGAGCTCAACTAACGGTAGGCCCAGGAAACGAGCTGTTTCGATGGGGTCGGACCAAAGGGATAGGGGTGTTAGTTGAGTCGGATTGAGCTGGCATGTGAACAGGTGGTTGGTGTCGTGGGGGGAGTCTCCACATGCCGGGCACTCATTTGGGATGTTTGGGTCGAGTCTGGACAGGTAGCTGTTTAGGCGGCTACAATATCCAGACCGTAACTGAGCCAGAGTAACGCGGGTCTCTCTAGGTAATTGAAGCTCCGTCTCTTCCACAAGGTGGTGATTGGGCTCCGATAACGACATTCTTAGGCCTGGAGTCGAAGTAGGTGGAGACTGACTCCCTATGAATGTCGTTAATCGCTTGTCTGTACGTCATTGGGTCCAGTGGTTGGTCTGTGTAGGTCTGGACTGCGTCCTTGTACACGAATAGGTGCCCCCTGACGTGCCTGGGCGGAGGCTCCTCCTCCAGCAGTGGTCTGTTAGGGTGTTCACTTCTGTGACACCCCACCAGAAATTGCTTACAGAGCATTTTGTTGTGTTCCCTTACGGGGAGCACTTGGGCCTCGCTGTGCAGGTGGTGCTCAGGCGTCATCAGAAGGTCCCCCAGTCGCGGTCCGGAGTGCGGCGTTCTGACAAGTCTATAGCTTCGTCCACTGCGTCCAACTAGTCCCCGGCGTCCAAACTGGCGCAGCATAGTTTAGAACCGGCCGGCCAATTGCCTTGTATGTTGCCAGCAACGTTTCTTTGTCTTTGCCCAAGTGCTTCCGGCGAGCGACTTGAGGACCTTGTTGCGGCTCCGTACTTTATTGACAATTGCGGTTGTGTGCGCGGAGTAGGAAAGCAGGCTATCGAAGGTGACCCCTAAGATTTTCGGGTTGTTTACAGTCGATATTGGTGTGCCATCGACGTGTATACCTAACTCTAGCCTGACCTCCTTCGTCCAGGTGGTGAAAAGGGTCGCCGATGATTTCGTTGGGGAGAGTGTTAGGCTCCTTGCAGTGAAGAAGCGAGAAAGGCTGGAGAGATAGTCGTTCACTTTTGAGCAGAAGTCATCAATTCCATTCCCGGACGCCAAAATCGAGCAATCGTCAGCGTATGAGATCAGGGAAACTCCCTCAGGTGGTTGAGGAAGCTTCGAGATGTAGAAGTTAAATAGTAAGGGGGAGAGAACACCACCTTGCATAACCCCTTGTTTAATCCTTCTTGGTTTCGAGGTTTGATCTCGGAAGATTACTGACGACTGTCGACCACTCATATAATTCGCCGACCATCGCTTCAGTCCCTGTGGGAGTGGGGAGGCCTCGATGCCTTCTAGTAGCGTGGAATGGCAGACGGTGTCAAACGCCATTGACAAATCCAGCGCTACTAGGACCGTTCTCTCACAGGGGCGGTTTCGATTTAGGCCACGAGTTATTTGTGTGTTTATGGCGTTAAGTGCTGTTGTTCTGCTGTGCACTTTACGGAATCCGTGCTGGTGCTTAGCTGGGTTTAGGTGGCAAGTGAAGTATGGGAGTAGTAGGGCCTCAAGCGTCTTCGCGACCGGGGAAAGGAGCGTTATCGGGCGATAAGAGTCTCCTTTGTTGGCGGGCTTCCCCGGTTTCAGCAGTGGGACCACTCTCCCTGATTTCCACACATCAGGAATGATGAGAGTGGCCATGGACAGGTTGAGGACCTCCGTTAGGCAAGCTACTCCCTTAGGCCCTAAATGTTTTAGCATCAGCATACAGATTCCGTCAGGTCCAATGGCTTTGGAGGCTTCGCCTTCCCGATGGCCCCCTTCACTTCACAGCTGGTGAAAACAAGTGGTGCACTGTTTTTTGGCAGCTTGTGCAGCCTCCTGGTCACTCGACGTTTGGCCTTGTCTACCGAAGGGTGCAGTGTGAATTGCCTACTAAAGTAGGCTGCGCATTTCTTCGGGTCCGACGAAGCGCGACCTTCGAAAGAGATTTCCACTCTGTCATCACGCTTCGTTGGGTTGGACAGGGACCTCACGGTTGACCAGAGCTTACTCACACCAGATGTGAAGTTACAGGCCTTCAAGTGCTCCTCCCACTTTTTCCGCTTATGCTGATTTACCAGTTGCCGAATCTCCAAATTAAGGTCCCTCAGACGGGGGCCCCGGGGTCGACCTGGCGTGTGTGGTCACACTCATTTGCTAGTACAGCTGCTTCGGCCGGGAAATTTGGGCGGACTTCCGCGATGCGTCCGGACGGGATAAAGCGAGCCGCTGCGGCAGTGGCTACCCTGCGGAACTTTCGTTCGCCAGTGTGTGTTTGTGGGTGTGGGAAGGGCGGCGAAGATAATCTCGGTGACTTCCGCGAAGCCGTCCCAATCTGCTTTGTTGAAGTTGGTGTAGGTTCGGTGGTCCGCGGGAGCAAAGTCGGTGGGCTTATTGATCGAGATGACTATGGGTAGATGGTCTGATGCTAGTGTTAGCATCGGTCGCCATGAGATGCTATTGATCAAACCAGCGCTAGCAATTGTTAGGTCTGGCGAGCTGCTGCAGCTACCCATAATCCTGGTGGGGGCGTTGTTTTTGTTGTAGCGGCTACAACAACCGCAACGGCCATCGGTCAGTTCACACGCAGCCCAGAACGTGCAGCTTCTAGTGGGGTTTGTCCACACGGGACAAGGCCGTTAGGGTTGTCGGGTTTTCCGGGCATGCGAAGAGATGTTTCGAGTCATGTGGGGTCTCTCCGCATGCGGACACTCATTCGGCACATCCTCATTCAACCTACTCAGAGTAGGAGTTTAACCTGCTGCAGTAGCCGGAGCGAAGTTGTCGAGTGTTGTGCGATGTCTCCCGAGGCAGATGAAGCTCCGTCTCCGTCTAGTGTCCGGGGGGGTATGCCTAGAACGGCATTCACAGGTCTAGAGTGTACATAACTACGAGCTGAGTCCCTGTGAAGCCGTTCAGGGCCAGACTGTGTAAGCTGTCGGGTCCAGAGGTTGCTTGAATGAACTCTGGACTTCGTCCGTCAGTTCATATAG